TTCTTGCCTATATACTTCCAAACATAACAAAGTAGCTTAGGAAAAGCATTGCAACTTTTATAATTACGAGCAATGCACGACATGAGTTGGGCATAAATATATTTAAATAATATTTTTTACATTAATTTTTATTTTAATTATTATCAAACCTAATTATTGATTTATTATACTATTCTTCGAGTATCTAATATGTTATTTGTTTAGGTATCTCTCTGACCCCTTAGATATTCACTCTTTTGTTTTATGAATCTTTATTGTAATTATATTTTTGTCAAAGAAATTGATTAAATTGTAATACTATTGTTTCTATTGTAATAATATGATTTGTTGTATACTAAAAAATTAACTATAACATATATTGGACTGTAGAATAATAGGATATAGATTTTATTTTATTTCTTCATATAAATATAGATATAGATCGATAATTATATATAATTGTATTACTAATAAATAAGTTTAAAAGAATTTAAAAATTTTTATAAAATAGTCTAAAATAAGTTGAAAGTTAAATAAGTGTTAAAAAAAATAGATGAAAGTATATAGGTGGTGTAGTTGATTTTATTTTATCAATTAGAGATAAAATAAAAAATTAAAAAAATTTCGCAGACACTAACATTTATAAATAATATAGATATTAATTATATGTTGGAGAGTTCTAGTTCAAATGGGGTTTGCTCACATAGAATTATTATTCTATTAAAAAAAGGTTAGTTATGTTAGTAGTATTTTAATAGAAGTAGGATTCTTATTATGTTTGTTTAATCTAATCTACTGGTGGACTTTAGATTGCAAGACGAGGCAAACTTCTTGATTGAAGAAAGAACAGCGCTATGAGCACCTCCACCTCTTAGTGAAATTTAGAATTTGAATAAAAAAATTTTAAAAATTTGTTCCAACCTTAAACTCAAAGTTATACCAAATCAAAGAAATTTATTTTTTTAGTAATATTAAGAGAGACTCAAATTTTTATTTAAATGTTTAATGGTGAGATTTCACTATCTTTTAAAGATCCAATGATCATCTTTACTCACTTTTAAATTTGAGTTTGTTTTCATTTAAATTTGGGTATCTGTTTTTTTAAATTTGAGTTTGTTCATTGGAGTTATTTATATCAAATCAAGATTTTTACTTAAATGTTAACTTAAATTTGAATAAAAATTTGAATTATGGTTGAAAATGCTATAAAGAGACGTCGTTTGAGGATTTGATCACAGAACCTATTATTGGTGTTCCTGTTTTATTGCGGCAGCTGCAGCAGGTAGCAAACACAGAACAAAGAAGAACAGTAACTAAATAAAACCATTGATCAACTCGTGTGTGTGACTTTTTGTGGTGTTCTTGATTTTTTTTTTAAATCCTACAATTCAAATGTTGCATAATGCATCTCTCCCAATAAGANCTCGTGTGTGTGACTTTTTGTGGTGTTCTTGATTTTTTTTTTAAATCCTACAATTCAAATGTTGCATAATGCATCTCTCCCAATAATATGATTTTTGTGATCAATTTGTTCTTCTCCATATTATTTGCCATATTTTTGGATTGCGGCGACTTAAAATTTTGGTGGATTTAAAATTTAAATACGTATAACCTTATCTATTCGAAAAGGAGCAATACTATTAGAACATAATTTAGGGACACTAGATTGTCAGTGGGTCTCAGCATTAAATTAGCAGTGGGTCTTAACACTATCAATCCAATGGTCACGATATATTAAGTCTCCAAATTATGTCCCTAAATTATGTCACAATAGCATTAGTGTTGTAAAAAACATAGGATTCTAAAAATTGTGACTATTCAGGCGATTATAGCGAGACATAAGATTATCTACAGGTTATTTTTTATGCCTTAGAGATTCAAGGACTTTAAATAATTTTATCGATTAGAAACATGTTCAAATTGTGGAAATTCAAAGCAATCTGGAAGATGAATCGAACACTGGACTTAGCATTAAATGAAAGAAATAAAAGATCACTCGGAGTGATGTATTACATGTAACGTAAAGGTTGTTCGGAAGCAAGGATTGAGTAAAAATAGGCTAGGCTAGCTCTGCAAAGAGTATTTGTAATTTGATTGTGAGATTCCCTTCTAATAGCCTAGTCTATGCTATTTATAAAGATGATTCTCAACCGTTGATGCATCTTTTCATGATCATACCAACTGATCGTAGTGGCTATGGGTCAGGTTATGAAAGGTATTCGATTGATTTGAGCTCTATTGTCCCATCATCTAACTAAACTACTTCACCGGCGAGGGTAGGCAACTCAATAAGTAGAGTCTAAAATATTAGAAAGGTCATGTCCCTTAAAATACATGAATGGGTGCCGAATCGTTTTCAACTAACGACTCATGTTGTCATGTTTTCTTGTTTCTTGAAATTACAAGAGTCCTATTCCTCTAACCGTCTTGTCGGTTGTGGACTCTCATAGAGTCCCTTATGACCATTGAATTCTCTCCATGTGTCACCCTCATATTTTGCTTTTTTTGGGTGTAAACATTGCCCCCCCTTAAAAGGATGTCGTTGAATATTTCACATTCGGGGCATCGTTTTGTATCCTTTGAATTTAAACTTCTATCGCTACATAAACCTTGCTCAACTGTCATACCATCATTGGCACTATTCTCGAATGGTTGAAGTGCAGCGTATCTGCNGATTCCTTTTCAACACACGAGACATACCTTGGGCCCCGCCTTTAGAGAGATGCCTCACAATGAAGTGCAGCGTATCTACCTAGACTCTCATATGTGTCTACCTTTCAATTTCAAGGAACCTCTCCAGTGGACAAACTGGCTTGCTAACAATCCTGTTTGTGCATGGAAAACCCCTTTCCTTGATTGAATTTTATGGGTGGCACGTGTTAAAGTAGCCAAAGATTTTCTTATGATGTCGTCTCAAAATTTATGATGTCGTAGAATTGAGTATTATTTCAATGCCTATTAACAAGCCGCTACTCAACGCTGCTCTCTTATTTTGGTCTGTGATGAATAGTGCTTTCTTATTTTGTCATGGCATTATGAGCCCTATGGTATATGAAATTGCTACCCTCGTCGGTCTTCTTCACTTTGGGATTGAGGCTAATGCTCTAGTTACGTATTCAAAAGCGAACCTATTCTTATTTTCTTGCAGCCAGTCATGGCCGTGATGGTTTTGCTATGTCATATCAAGAACATATCTCATTCTTGCTTAACTAGTTCTTCTNGCTCTAGTTACGTATTCAAAAGCGAACCTATTCTTATTTTCTTGCAGCCAGTCATGACCGTGATGGTTTTGCTATGTCATATCAAGAACATATCTCATTCTTGCTTAACTAGTTCTTCTTCTACACTCTGTTTTACAAGGTGACCAAGGAGTTTATCCTACTGGCCTTCTTCTTGGTCGCGTGATCTTCATATTTTCTTGTCCCTATCATGCTTGCCTACCTCTATCGCAGAATGTGGGAGACGGGTGGCGTTGAAGATGCAAAGAGGTTCAGGTCCTCTCTAGGTCCTTCAACTATGATTTTGTGCTTATTTCACAAAGCTCTCCATTCCGTCTGTTGATAACTCGTCCTTTTTTTATGATCATCTATTTGCCACTATCCCATCTAGGGAACAGTCATTTGTTGACTATTTCTCTTATTTGTATAATTTGAATGACTCATAGCCCATCTGGATGTCGTTTTCCCAAAATCGTAGCCCCGAATGGTTCTTTTAAAATCCTGGTGAGGTCTTATTTCTTAGGAGTTTTGTATAATTTTTAAAATATGAGAGAATATCTATATAATAAAATTAATGTCAACGATTATGGTTATATTTACCTTTGTTTCTATTATAAATTAACCACGTCGCAAAGAATATTAAGTGCAAATGATACATTGCCAAAATTTGAATATAAGAAATTAAGCAGTCATTTGCATTTTTATTTTAAAAAAGGGACTTAATTAATATTATTTATATTGGTTAATAAATGTATGGAAAAAATTAGATTTAAAAATTTAGGATTTGTAAGAGGGAACAAAAAATTAAAGGTTCAACTATGATATTAAAAAATAATTTTTTGGCCCTCTATTCAATTTCAATTCTTTATCATATCAAGTCATATTCAAAACGATTATGATTATTGAAACCAATTGTAGCCTTATTACAGGAGAAATTCTCTTTGAATGGTGAGATTTATCATACTCAATACATTCAATTCATTGTAAAGTTTTAAAATTTAAATATTACTCTTGGAGGATGTTCTCCAGCCGCTAGCTGCTATGCGACAAAAATGTGGAAATTGGAGATCCAAAAGTCACAGAATCCCCCCTTTTTACCCACCACAACCCAATGACCCACTCAATCAACCTGATGATACTGAGTGATGCCAACATAGACCACCGGGTGAACTCAGAAACACCGAAACCCTAATTATCGAGAATTAGTGTGAACATGAACAAGAACAAGAACAAGAACAAGATGGGTAGTGAGGCTTCACCGGTGGAGATTGTGAATATAGCGGATGACGACAACAACGGCGACGATGATGAAATATCACTACTATATGCAACACCCATATCCGTCTCACTCAAAAAAGGAACCACCCCAAAAATTGCTATATCAGTTGAAGAGTACTCCGATGACAGAGACCTCTGGCTTGCTATCATGGCCTCTCTATCTCGATTACCAAAACCCAGTACCAGTAGCAATACCAGACCCAAAAGAGAAAGGATCATCGACCTTTCTCGAGATTACCCAAATGATGATGAAGTTGAAGTCCAGGTGTTAGACTCTTTCCCTCCACCATTTCCGAGAATCAGAAAGCCCTTTCGAGGCCGCCCTTACATTTCTGAACCAGGACAGTCTTCCAATTCCAAGCCTGACGATAGAGATATCATAATTCCACCTTTCGTGTGTGAAATCTGTACTGACCCAAAGCCTTATAGTGACTCATTCTTCATACCGGGTTGTACCCACCGTTACTGTTCGGAGTGCATGGTGAAGTACGTGGGGTCAAAGCTAGAAGAAAACATTTGCCAAATTCATTGCCCTGTTTCGGGATGTGAAGGGCTATTAGAGCCGGAGAATTGCCGTTCAATTTTGCCGCAACATGTGTTTGATAGGTGGGGCAAGGCGTTGTGCGAGGCGGTGATTGTAGTTTCGGAAAAGTTGTATTGTCCTTATAAGGATTGTTCAGCGCTAATGATTCATGAGAGAGGTGGAAATGGTGAGGTGATAACCCAGTCGGAGTGCCCCAATTGCTGGAGGTTGTTTTGCGCGGAGTGTAAGGTTGAATGGCATTGGGGAATTGTATGCTCCGAGTTTCAGAAGTTGAATAAGGATGAGAGAGAAAAAGAGGATATTATGTTGATGAATCTTGCCAAGGCTAAGAAATGGATGAGGTGTCCTAAATGCAAGTTCTATGTTGACAAGTCTCAAGGTTGCTTGTTTATTAGATGCAGGTTTGTTATTTCTTTTTCCTCCTTGTGCTGCTGTTTTCTTTTTGTCATACTCTCTGGGTGTGTGTTACAAAGCTTTGGATATGAATTCCTTTTGCTCATTCATTCTCAACTTGAAAATTAGACTGAAATGCTTAGCAATTTCACCAAATAAATAAGCACAGGAAAAAAATTCAGGGTCATCAAATATTATTTCTTGTAATAAAAAAGAGAAATCTCATGGTACAATCCTCTTCCCGTCGAGCCCCCTCTCTCCTCGGTTCACAGTGACAAAATGTGGGACTGGTGCCAACAGTTCATCACGGAAGAAAGGACTCACTAAGCTGGGATCACTAACTAATACTAATCTAATATAATAGAATCTAATAGAAAAGAATTGTCTTTTCTGTATACTTTCCCGGTTCCGTTGCTATTGTGGGCATTATGCAATCGATTGGATTATATAGTTATCCCATATCATTTCTTGTAATAAAAAAGAAAAACCACATATGTGTGTGTGTGTGTGTGTGGTCTGTTCCCCCTGGGGCTGGGATTGACCATGAATTACAAAATCCATACCTCGTTGTGATCTGTCTCATTGATTGGACACACTTATGTTTGCGGATATAGTCTGCCTCTCTTGGTCAACTTTGTGACTTGGCCTGGTTACAAGTGCATTCTTTTATTTTGTTTGAGGAGCGGCACTGATGTAAACTAGAATGATGGCATTTATGCAGTTGCTGGAACTGGAAGTTGGGCTGGTNTCTTTTATTTTGTTTGAGGAGTGGCACTGATGTAAACTAGAATGATGGCATTTATGCAGTTGCTGGAACTGGAAGCTGGCCTGGTATACCTGATGTGATATATCTTGGTTATTTTGTTTTAGCTTTCTCCATTCTTCTCCTTGTTACATATGAATTTCAAGCTCATGCTAACTGGTCCTTGGTTTGTGAATATATTCTAATATTTCAAATCTTATTTATACATAATGGGGTGTTTGATTTTCTTATAAATGCTGTGCTGATTCACAATTAATAACATCCTTTGGTTGTTCACAGGTGTGGATATTGTTTTTGTTACAACTGTGGAGCTCCTTTAAAGGGCCACTACTGTTCTAATTGTAAGCGTTAAGTCTGCATAATTAGTTAGACATTGGCTTCTTCAACATTTTTTTTTTTTGGCTTCTTCAACATCAATGTTCATCTTCAAGTGTTTAAGGCAGTGCATTATATGGAAAACAGCAATAATTTATATATCAAATAATTGTCGAAAATGAAATCGTGCCTTTTGATTCATTTGTGCTATTTGACATCGTGGAAATGTTTCTTTGAAGGGGGAGGGGGGGGGGGACCATCATGGAAATGTGGATGGACTTTTTGGTTGGATGGTATATTCTTTTTTTTTTTTTGGTCGTGTTACATCATTACATAGAAAAAAACTTAGCATAAAGCATAAAGCATAAGGATAAAGACAGAGAAGACGCTAAGATAATTATCCTACCCAACTCCATCTCTTGCTTCTTTATCCACCAGTTGCATGATGCTCACAGGCAGGTTAGTACTCCAGTAAGTAGGCAAATTGCCATTCCTGGTTTGTGAGGCTATCAGATCAGCCAATTGGTTTAGTTCCCTTTTGACTGCTTTAAACTGAATTGAAGGGAACTTCTGCATGTACCTACAAATATCATCCTGAATAGTTTCCGCTTCTACCAACGGTTTCGCTTGCCCATTTGACAGGGTGTCAATGAGTCTTTGAGTCAGTTTGTATAATCACAGCTTGGCAATGCTCTTCTACGGCCAACCTGCATGCACGCCGTACAGCCCATGATTCAGCAGCTGTGGATTGTCTCACTTTGAGTATCACCCTATCTTCGTGTATTTTCACTCGGTAAACAAACCTGATTGGTGTTATATTGACTTCAAATTTCATTTAAGTGTCTTGTCCTGTAGGCTCAAAATTTAATTTATGGACATCTGAATAGAGGGTTCAATGAGCTGGTGTTGCCTTGGTTTTTTTTTTTATTCTTTTCTTCCATTGAATAGAGGGTTCAATCCAAGAATCCTGTGCTCAGCATTTTTTTTTTCTTTCGATGTCTTGGTAAAGTTTTCTTCCGATGAAAATTGACATGCTCATCCAATGGAGGCTGTGGTGAATTCATAAATGAGCAATGATCAGTGGATATGGGTTTCGCATGAAATACCTACACTTAGTCAAACAAAAGACCAAGGGTTGACCGAATTTCTTTTGACAAGGAAAATAAAACTTTCAAAAAGGAGAATCGCAGACGAATCATGTTGTTTCAAGCAAATATAAACTTGAGTACGAGTTTTTTTCTTCCAAGGGGGAAGGTCTGGTGTAGAAGAAGAATTACTAATTCTTATGTTTCTATTTTTGCTACCTAAAGCATGTCAATTTTCATAATTTCTTTTGACATATGTTTTATTTGTGTCTAATAACTTTCCTAAGACTAGGGATTTAAGTCTATTTTAGAAACTTTTATTGGTTTGAGAATTCTATAAATTTTCATATGTATTATTACAAGTTCTAATCAATGAATTGAATAATACCAAATTCTGAGAGTTTTCTTTTCATTTTCTCTATAGATACATAGGGACAATGATGCCTTTATGTTTTTCTTGTTTACAGCTGTGTCACAAACACAGGTCTTTAATGGCTGAACATGAAATATGGATAAAAAGAAAGTAGTATGATAATGGTTCAGTACCCTAATAGTTCATTAATTTTGCAAGGAAATGACTATATGATTCAGTACACATGGAGAATTTCGTCACTTGTGTAGTATTGTGAAAGTGATTGTAGATGATCCCCTGTTTTGAGATGCAGACCTTCATTCTTCATCTGATTGTGTTAATGAAATCGTAAGTATGGTTGTATTATGGAAATAAATTACTCAAGACCAGATATAAAAGTTACTCCAGTGGAAGGTAGCCAAGATGTGCCTGCAATAAAACTTCCGACGCTATATTTGATAGCCTCTTCTTTTCCAATAACATGGAAGCCCGATCACTGTACCCTATTGGCAGTTGCAGCACCCGGCCTAACATTACAGTATTCTGCGAAATACAGTGTCCTCAGAATGGAACACCCAGCCCCTGGCCATTCCACCCAACCTCTCGGTGCAATTGCCTCGTCTGTTGTGGTTTGCATTACAACTGATCTCGAATTCTCTTTCCAAGGCCTCCCAAGATAGGAATTGTACGAGTGTTTGACTGGAGAAAAATCAGTGGCTGTGGTGATCTTGCAATTCTGAATGGCGAATCCAGTGTTCTGTCCTGGGCCACTCCTTCCATTTGCCAAGATTACGTTGTAGGCACTTGAAGTGTGCGGCTTACGAAGCACTAGATTGCAGTTTTGGAAAACAGCTGCAGCATTTCCGAAGATGAAAAATCAACAGTTTCATAAATATCGCACTCCCTGTAGAATTGACGGAGCGTGAGGGCATATAATGTATCTTGGTAGCCCGCGATGCTACATCTATATAGGACAGAATGGTCTGAAGCGACAATAAGTGCCACCGCTTGCTCTCCTTGAGGGCCAGCTGTGTTTCAGAACCCGATATCCCTCGCTATGAATCCGTCACCTGTAATTGCTGTACAAAACAAATAGATTGTTTTGTCGGAGTAGGATATGATAGGATAGGATACCACAGCATAGCAAGGTAAGGGCAAACTTGCACTTGATAAGCATATAATCTATAATTAATTTGAGCGATATGGATCTTGTACAACCTCAGAATACAAGTAGTTGGTGTAATTATCTGACATATATCTAAATTCCAAACAATAATCATATTATAGATAAGAAAATGCTATTGCCTATTGGGATCAAATATGGTGATTTAATAGAATAGAATAGAGTAGAATATAATCATTAGATTGGCTTTAAATCTTATTTAATGTTGTGATTTACTCTTTTTTGTTACTTTTATTGCCCAGCAACATTGATCTTAGAGATGTGTATACAAACGCAGATCTATAGATCTAAGGATTCATTAACAAATGGGTATCAATAGTTCTATTCAAATTTAATTTATAGATTTAATTTGTTCACATAATTTATTTGATTGTTACTAAACCTCATTTAACATTAAGATTTGTTGCTAATCCAAAGACCGCAGATCAATAAATTAAGGGTTAATTATAAAATACCCCTTTCAACTTTGGGTAATTTATCATTCACCCTTTCAAGTTTTAATTTCAACAAATAGTCACCTTTAAGTTTGAATATTTTATAATTAACTTCAGTAGTTAATGTTAGACCATAAAAGGTGACTATAGAATGGGAGTCAGAAAGAGGCATTGGGTTGCTCAGGAGAAGGTTACCTTGCCTAACTCTGAAGGAGGTTTGTGGTTGAGGAAGTTTGAGGATTTGGCAGGTGGCCTTTAGAATGAAGCAAATTTGGAATTTGATGCAGGGGTCTTCTTTGTGGGCCCAAGATTTTGCTGCTAAATTCTTAAAGGGTAGACACATTATGAGGTGTGTAACTGGAGGTCATTCGAAATGTTTGAAGTCCTTAAGGCCGTTTTTTTCAGAAGGTTGTTATGAACTCAAGAAGGTTGATTGGGAAGGGTGATCAGACTGATTTTTGGTGTGATCAGTGGCTTGATAGTGGGCCTCTTATATGTAGAATGGATGCTGTGCCTAGTTTTTTTCCAAAGGTGTGTGAGTTGGTGATGGATTCTCATTGGCAGCTCAATCAGGTGGATGGTCTGTTAAGTGATCAGATGAAGGCAGAGATTTTGGAGTATCAATTGTCTCTTTCTAATGCTGCTGATAAGCTTGTTTGGCAGCATTCTAAGTCAGGTTCATTTTTCATAAAGACTGCATGGAATCTTGTGACGCATCAAGGTGAAAAGAATGTAACTGCTGAGGCCATATGGAATATGCAGACTGCACCAAGTGCTCAATTAGTGGGTTGGAAGATGCTTATGAAGGCTATCCCGCTGGATTCCAGAATTAAAATGTGTGGGATTCCTCTGGTGAACTGGTGTGTTTTGTGTGGTAATGAGGAGGAAGACGCTGTTCATTTGTTTGTGGAGTGTGAGTATGTTAAATCCATTTTGAGAAGATTGGCTGCGATGGCAGGATTTCAGCTGAAGCTGATTGATGGGGAGTTGCCTTTGGTCAGAATGCAAAGAATGTAGAATTTTTAAAAGAAAGTCAGTCTCTGTTGCAGCTTGATAAGGAGTTTGGCTTTATTAATTTTCTGGCAAGTCTGGAAGGAGAGATGCAGGCGAAGGGCTGGGGAGGGACAACTAAACTCCTACTCTATTTTTCTTAGGATCTGTAGTCTCTTGAGATTTCAGATGATGAATGTTGGGCCTAGAGTTCTGGATAGTGGTAATTGCAGGGGGCTTTTGCAGATGCTAGGCATTGTTAAGCCTTTTGTGGTTTGTACTAGAGCCAGCTGGGTTTGTTGGGCTTGTCCAGAAACTGGGGTTTTAAAGCTTAATGTGGATGGCGCTGCAAAGGGGAATCCTGATCCTACGGGGGGAGGGGCAATTCTGAGAAATGAATGGGAAGGTATGGTTTTAGCTGCCTCTTTCTTTTATGGGATTAATTCGAATATGGGTGCTGAAATCAGGGCCCTGCTGGATGGTCTCAGTCTGGTGAATAGGTATGGTTTGACAGAGTATAAAGTCTTGATTGAATCAGATTCATTGGTTCTGGTACAAACTGTCAAGGGCAAGATGGTTTGTTCTTGGTCTTTTTTGGGTATTCTTGATCATAGTAAGTAGTTCCTGAGCAGAATGCAGTTTGAGTTGGAACATGTATATAGAGAAGCAAATTTTGTAGCTGATGCCTTGGCAAATAAAGCTGTTCAGGATGGGTGTTCTTCTGACTTTTCTGCGACTGATCAGCTGCCTGCTGTTGTGAGCCAAAGACTGGTTCAGGAACAGAGGTGCTTGCCTGTTTTGATAACCAGAACTGTGTTAGTTTTTGATGATCAAGGTTGATAACGGAAGGTGGTGGACCTTGCTATTGGGTATTGTGCAGGTGGTCCTGCTGCAAGATTCAAGGCAGCTGCCTGTTCTTCAACAAAAGATGATGCTGGTGTATGATGATAAGGATGAGGTTGGTGGTTTGGTTCCAGCTGTGATGATTGGATGCAGGATTCAGGTGGTATTGACGCAGTGGAAGCGGATTTATGACTCTGAAGGAGAGATTTAGTTTTTATTGTTTTGAAGAATTAAAGCCTTCAAAATATGGACAAGATGGCCTCTTCTATGATTTTTTCAGGATCTGGGTATCCATGAATCCTTTGAAGTTATTGCTGCATCATCAGCAAAGGAATCAAGATACTCAAGATTCTGTCATTTTTTGATTCTTTGTAACATGTTTTGTATTGATTGCTTCTTGTAATTTTTCTTTTTTTTGAAAAATGAAATTCTGGTTTCTCAAAAAAAAAAAGAAAATGGCTGCTAGTATCAAGTTTCTTTCCTTATTTATCTGCCTCGATCTCATCAACAAAGGTATGTGCCACGTACCGTGAAGAAAAAAAATTCAATCTTTTTTTGATTATCCAATTGCTTGAAGCATTTTATCTTGTGCTCTTTGAGGTTATCAAATTGGTAGCATTTGTAGTGTCTTTCATGTTAGGGATATGATAACATTCATATAGATTCATTAATATTCACAGTTGAGAAAAGATGATGATAAATTATAGTGATACTAGTTATTGTCTATGCTTAAAGATACAAAATAATAAAAAAAATGATCAACAATAAATATATTTATATTTACACCTAAAATAAAATTACAAATATAGAGTATAAAAAAAAAAAATCTAAGCACCAATTGTAGTGGAAGTGAACGGTGGTAGTGGTGGTGGTGGAAGACGATGATGATTGTGGTGTGTGGCGATGACTGTAGTGATAGTGACAATCATGGATAGCAATGGTGATGCTTGTGGTGGATTTTTGGTGACGATAGTGGTAGTGACAGTCGTGGGTGACGACGGTAGTGGTTGTGAGCGACGGTGATGTTGATGGTGGTGGGGCAAGGACGGTGGTGGGTGATGGTGGTGGGCAGTGATGATGGAGGTAGTGGACGACGACAGGCGTTTCTGAACGACAGTATGATGGATTGTGATAAATAACGGTGGTGGTAGGTGTGGTAGGGGTGGACGATAGTGGGTGGTGACAGTGGTGGGCGATGACAATTGGTAGTAGTTGGTGGTGGTAAGTTTGATGGAGGTGGGTGACTGGCAATGATGGGTGGTGGTAAGTTTTATGGGGGTGGGTGATAGTGACTAACAACAATGGTGGACAATGATGAGTGGTGGTGAGCAACAATGGTAGTGGTTGGTGTTGACGGTCGATGATGGTGATAATGGTAATAAATATAAGAATGCGATGAAAATTGTGGTGGGTGGTAGTGGTGGTGGGGTGGCGGTAGTGGTGGTGGTGGTGGTGGCAACGAGTGGCGGTAATGGTGGTGGCAATGATAGTGGTGCAGGTGGTGATGGGAGTGGCGATGGCAGCGGCGGCAATGGCAGTGGTGATGGTGATGGTGATGGTGGTGGTAGTGGTGGAGCGGTTTCATGTACAATTTTTTTTAAAGTATTTATAAATAGTTATAAATTCTAAAAATACTTTTAAAAAGTTACTCTAAACATATTTTTAGAGAACTATTTTCCCTATTAAATTTGAGGTGTTAATATTAACCATTAGATTAACTTTAGAGTAAAATTTAAAGAGATCTCAACCGTAAAAAATAAAAGTCATTTTATTTATCTTTTAAAATTTGAATTGTATTGTACTTTATTATATAGATATTTATACGTATCTTGTTTATTTCTCACCCTATAAATAAGATTGAATCTTACGTAAACAACCTCCGAAAAATAAACATCAATGTAGCTCATTGGGCGTTAAGTCCATGAACGTATGCACATAGTTTGGAACAACGTTTATCATTGCCTTGTTTTCTCCCATTTTTTTTCTATCTCTAATCTTTTATATTATGAATTTCTTTACTTCACGTTGCTCACGCTCTAGAATTGACTAATTCTCCCGCTATAAACCGCAAAATGACACGATCCTATGACTATTCTAGGGGTTGGCTATGTGTACAAAGTATATTTAATTTGTATACGATAAATCTTTTTAATTGAAATTTTATGATGAACATATTTTACCTGATTTTGACATGATAATTTATTTAATTGGCATTGTATGTGATTTTGATGAACTGATTTTTTAAATTTTTTTTATTTGTTTACGGGTGCCTATGGGTGGTTATTTGCGTGGGAGAGAAGTGAGCCGATTCTTTCTTTTTTGGTCTTGACTTATGCATGTCAATACAAATGAGTAAATATTGATTACAATGACGATACTACATCAGAATGGGGACGTAGTACCACAACCTAATAAGACGGCACCTTACATGCAGGATATACCCTGCATATGCATGTATTATTCGCTAGATTGCATACAGCTCTATATTGTATAACAATGTATCTACAAGTGTGAAGAAGCCTCCATTCTGCCTATTCTAACTTTCTAGATTTTTTATTTTTAAAATTACTAAAAACTAAATGGCTTCACCTTATTAGTCTTTCCG